TTCAAATATAATATTTATTTATATATAATTTATTATAAATTTTAATTATATATAACAAACATACACTGATTAAAGTACTAGTATACAACCAATGTTTTACCATGGCACAAATGGTTGGTTATTGATGTGACGGCCTAGGGCGGGTCGTTACAGCTCCACAAACCATGAGCTCTATTCCTTGTTTCTTGTATAAATCTTTCAGCAACCCATCGATGCAGCAATGGCCCAACAGGGATTTCAAAGTCTTCAGGGAATATCCCAGGATAGAGAAAGCATGGTTTTAATCTCCTTGGTAGGTTGTCGTAGCTGAGTTTGAGAACTATATCCTTCACTTGGGTCTCATCTCGAGTAAGATACCAGTTGACATGACTTACCACTTTAGACCATTCCCTGTATGAACACTTTGAAATCCCTTAGATCATATATACAAAAATTTATATTAATCCAAGATTATTTGATTCTTCATTCTTATAAAACAAAATTGACATAATATATTTATTTCAAAATATACTAAAATATGAACACTTTGATTACCTTCAAGTTGTTATTCAATTTTAACAAAATTTGATATACACATATAAAGTGATATGAAATTTCAATCTAACAGTTGTATTTACAAAATTTAAATTTAATATAAAGTTATTGAGCAGTGTAATATTTAGTAAAAGTTACACTGATGATATTATAACTCTCCTCTTTTTCTCTCTCTATATATATATATAAAAGTATGTATTTTATTAGAAGTATTGTATTTGAGATAAACCTCGTAAAATCCAATTACACCTTCGCGTTAGGTGCTTCATTGCAACTTCGTCCCATTTGCAATAGAATATTTATAATGCTACAACAATCAAATAGAATAAAAAATATAAGCATCCTACTTCTACAATTAACTGGTATTAAGTGTAGAAAAACCAATTCCAAAAGCCAATGTAAGCACTATCCTACAACTTTATCTTTTGCGTTTTTGGACTTCCCTAAATTTACTTGATAAAAAATTATTTTGGTTTCCTAGGAAATTTTCACACCGCATGGATTGATGGGAAACTAATCCCTTGATGTGCAGAAGGATTCATATTTCTCGCAAGTGACATCATTACAAACCTTTGCCCCTCCATCTAAAATGAAGCTTACAATTGCCAAGGATGAAACAATTTTCTTCATTTTCATCCTTGTACCAACTTTTTTTATTCATGTTGTTCCTATAGTGCAAAAGTAAATAAATCAGTTTGAAGGTTTCACCCAAACCAACGAAAAGGGAAGCCCGTGCAAAGCAAAGCAAAGGACATTTGAAGTTCTAACTTCTAAGGGATGCACTGATTCATGAACAAAACCACTAACTTTATTCAGCATAAATTAATACAGTACTAAGTAATTATGTTCGTTCATTAGATACAAAACCAAGAATGTTCCGAGGTTCTACAAATATCCACCAACAAGATAAGATGTTGGTCTTGCTTACAACAAGAAGCCGAGGATCCATAAAGTTGTACAACAACTCAGCTTGAATAACAATACTTGAACATGGGATTCCTTTGGACCACTCATATACTACTAAACTCGTTGGATCCTTTCATAACATTGCACTGAATCTTGAAGGACTGCCCTCAGTTATCTGCAACGATATAATTAAAAGATTCAGCTATACCATCCATACTTAGAAGCTGAAACATTACCTAAATTGAATCTCATTCTTACCATTTGGGGACTGAGAGCTCATTGCAGAGAAGTCAGAAGACATAGACATAGGAATGGATATTGAGAGTTGAGTTGTCGAGAAGGCTGTTTGGTTGGATCTCTCATCTTCCAAACCAGACCATGGCTCCCTACGTTTAGGCCATTCATTAAAAAATGGTCGAAGATGCTGGCCCTCCTTAACATGTTCTCCCGATGCATATTCCCCCGATAAAAATGAATTCTGGGGATAATCACTATGCAACATGGAATCATTACTTGACTTTGATGTAGAAAAAGAGGAAACTCTGGTTGACATCAAAGGCCATGCGTTTTCCAACTGTGATTCCATTTGGAGAACCTTGTTGCTTCCTGAAGCTTCAGAAAAGAAGCAATGCTCACCCCCCTCAGATTTAAGTCCTTGAAGATACCTGTTTGGTTCAAGTAAAATTGCTCACATGGTCATATTTAATCATACAAAAATTTATCATTACAATAGAACAAAAATGCCTTATTGGCAAGCCAAGTAGTACAAATAAATAATCAAGATGGTGATTACATGAAATTAGCAAAAAGAAAAAATTGAAGAAGAAAAAGAGCAGTAGACTAGACAAGGTCACCACCAATGCTATTGTAGTTACAGATGTACTATTATTCAATGAAAGCATAGCTTTTGAGGCCTGGTGATTTTGAATAAACTCACATTGAAATTATATGATGGAAGCAACAATGAATTAAAGAAAAAAAAACTTATATTGTTATAAGATGAAAATACTAAATTAAGGCCCTAAGCTGGATGAAATGAAACACAAGCAAGAAAAAAAAGGTCCTAATTCAGAGGAATAGAAATAATTGTCTTACATTCTGCAACTTATGATTTCAAAAAGAACAAAGTAATATGGTTGTGTGGAACAGAACAAATTTCCCAACTATATTCAAACAAAAGCGTGAAGAGAAAGTGTGAGACACCCTTCTTTTGATAACATTGAAGGAAATGCTATTAAAGATATTATGGCCTTAATTAAAGATAAATTTTCTGTTCTATTCTTTATTGGTGAAGTATTTTTCAAATCCCAAGCAAACAACAGGTGCGAAATATGGTAAGGATTTCAATACCTGTATTCTTTACTTGGAATCGCATAGGGAATGGAATCTAAACGATAATTGGTTTGGTCGGTTCCGGAATCAGTACCCTGGAGATTACAAAAGGCATTTGCGGGAAGGTTCTGAAAGTTTAGGGTTCCACTGCTGCCACCGGTGACAGTGAGTGATGTCACAGTTGAAGATGATTGTGTCAAAGTTTGTGATTCCACAGGCTTTCTTGAACGGTTGCGGCCACGGTGCATGTGGCGCTCGCAGTACTTGGAGTCTGGGTATGCTTCCTTGGAGCACCTCCACTTTTTCCCATCAGTCCTCCTGCATCGTCCTGGCTCTGGATCCACCTTCTTCCCATAGAAGGAACAATAACTCACTGCAAAGTTAGTCATGCACAGCTATTTCATTACCAACATTCCAAACACACCCCAGACCTTAGTGAACAAGAGACATTCATTTGGCAGCAATAAAGACAAAATGGAAGTATACATAGCTAATAGGCGAAAAGCTGGAGATAAGGAAAGAAACCAATCAGCCATTCTTCTGTGTCAATAATTGCATCCATAAAGGTAAAAGAAAATCCCTATGAAAGATGACTTATATGATTGCAAATGTATTAAGTTAGTGTATTTAATTGCAAAAAATCAAAGGAAAAAAATCCAAAAATGGAAAGATAACATGTTCTGGGTCAAGCCACCTTCTTAAATAACAATCCAAGAAACAAGCTTCACACATCCTTACCATAAATAAGCCCAATGGGTCATTCAGGGTTATTATTATAGCTACCGTAGCCATATGCAGTCTTTAGGGTTGAAAGAAAAACATTGATGTTACTTGCACATAAATGGCATCTTTACTTGCGGTTACAGACAAGGCAACACCAAATTAAAAGGATCCCTAACGAATGCCGAATAAAGAATAAAACTTTTAAAACTCTTATGTTTTTGGGGCACAGAATACTTGAGCTTTAAAACATGGGCATAGGTAAATAATACCAAAACGAGTTCTTTGTATAGAAAAATAGAAAAGCAAAGCAAGATTTAAGAACTCACGTGTGGGATGGTGAAAGAAGCCGTGTGAGAGAGAATCGAAGCTCTTCTGAATGGGGAGCACGAGATCAGGAGGCACAGGAAGACCCGCAACCATGTACTTGAAGATCAAAGCTTGGTGTTCCAGTTCCTGCCACTGAGACACTGTGAATGGGGACCTGCCATAACTGTTACTCAAACCCATCAAAGTCCCTCCGCCACTGCTGTTCATGTTTTCCACTACTCTTAGTCCTACTATTAATAACGCAACAACACTCTTCTTTCGGTATCCAAATCAAACATAGTCAGACCCAAAAGATAACGAGATCACACTCAGATCGAGTTTTGTCGGAACCATTTGGGTTTGTTTGTTGTTTCTTTCCTTGTGACACTGCGCGCGTGTCGATTGTCTTGTGTTGTGTCCGGATGGCGATGCTCCAAGTTTAAGTAAACTAGCATTCATGTCATACTTAACATTCACTGCTTCCAATTTCATCTCTTATTATTTATTTATTTTATCAACCCAATTTCCCATGGCTAATTTTTTATGCTCAATTTTATCCAAGACTAATCTCTATTTTTTTTTTTTTTTTGGTTAGAATGTTCTTCCGCTCACATTTTTACATTCACAACTCGAATTGATTAAGTGATTGAGTAAGAACTATTCATATATTTTTTATATTTTTTTCTCTTATTTGGTCAGATATATATTTTTGTCTTATAGTTTGTCTTTAGGAAAGTTTTAAGAAAATAATATAACTTTTTTGTCATTAATGGTATAAATTTTAATATGAAAAAGTCCTTAAATAAGGAATTAAAATATGATTTAAAGAGTTTAATTGAAGTATATTGATAGTATAAAAAAATCATACAATTCTTTAATTACATTTTTTTATGTATAATTTATGTAATAATTATTTTAAAAATTATATTTAGAGTCATTTTTAATAAATCAACAATATAATATTAATAATTTTTAAAAAGTAAACTCTTATTTAAATTGATGAAATATCAATAAATTGGGGGTGCTTTGGAATAATAATTTTTAAAAATAAATAAAAACCTTGAAAAATAAAAAAATTATTTTACACATAAAATTGTATATAGATTTGGCTTATCTAAAATTAGAAAAATGTACTTTAGAAAATAAAGTATAATAATAAATGTTTTATTAAAAGATTAATGATTAATATTATAAAAATTTAATTTTACCACAATTTCTTGATGAACATTATAAGTAAATTACACCTCTTGACTTTAAAAAAGAGCCAAATCCATATAATTCAAATAGAGGAGGTGTTTATTTTTACTCTTTTTCCTTTTGTTAGATTTGGTCATTTACTCATTTTGTTGCGAGCATCATCTACTTTTATTATGCTACCCTTTAACGGACAGCAACAACGCGTGATGGGCTGGAGTAAGGTCGGGCCCAGTGGCCCAAAGCACCAAGTGACAGATATTTTTGAATTTGGCCACCGTTGGAGGAAACCATTCACTAGTTGCCGGAATGCGGGTAACATTCGATGTGGGGCTCAATCTCTTTGAGATTGGAAAAAAAGAAAAACAGAATCGTAAATGTGGTCCAAAGCAAAGCAATGCAAATGCGTGGAATTCCAGTTTTAGGCTTCTTGGTTCTGTATCATTGCCCATGTACCCTGTACCTGTAGCCGCAGGAACTATATTATTGGAGATGAATGAACTAAGGAACACATAACTACAGAAGAACTCAAGCAACGTCTCTTACACCTCATGGTCAAGGATGGTTTAATTATTCATTGGTTGGTAACCCATACTTCATCATACATGGTCCACACCCCTATGCCCTATCTTCCACACCTACTATCCCTTGTGGTTCCTGTTTGTGTTTTGTCTTTCAAGGGTGTACTGAATAACAGAATACGTAGATAAACATTAACTGATTGCATTCCTTAAGAAACAAATGTTACATTTATATGGCTATGCTAAGGAGAAAACTTTGTTCCAAAAAACAAAACCTACTCTAACAATCTCTATGATTTATAAGAAATAAATTTCTGAGTATCCATCCATATTTTGGTTCAAGCCAAAGAAAATTGTCTATGCTAAGCATGACAGTTACAGAACACATCACAAAAAGTCATGTTGTTACATTGCTTCCTCGTATATGAAAATAAAATTCTGAATTCAGTCAATTGTAAGCTTGGAGGGTTGCCACTTGCCAGGGTGCTTAAACCTAAAAGTATTACAATGGCAAAAGTCGTAGGGACAATACAATTTAAGGAATATATACTTGCCGAAACTATATCATTTTGACTATTGGTTGTTGCTTCAAAAAGTTTGTTGTGCTTATGTCCTTGATATCAGATCACGTGTAGATTCTTACTTTTGTCGGTCATTTTTTCACCATCACTATTTGGATCTCGTACATTTTTTTTTGTCAAGTATCGTGCCGTGGCTTGCTTCGGTTGTAATCAAAGGCATTTCTTCATTTCATGATTTGGGTAAACTCGCAAAACATCAGGGATGGAACCCTCGATTCCTTTTACTTTATTTAACTATTATTAATCTCAATTAATCATGTTGTTGATTGATCAAAAAATTATTTGAATGGATCAGAAAATTAATCATGTTGTTAAGTATCTAAATTTGATTTTTATAAAATTAAATTCTAACACATTAAATAAATAGTTAATTCATATACTTATTTTTATAATTTAATCATCAATTTTAAATATTGAATTTTCATTATTTATTCTTATGTAACTACACAGAAATAGTGAAATCCTTATTTTTTTGTTAACTTAAAACACTTGAGTTCATCATTATTTATCAATGATATATATATTAATATATAAAGGAAATATACATTTTAACAACTACTTTGATTTTTATATTTTGTTAAACTATTATATCTTTTTTATTTAAAAAAAAAGTATTTTTAATCAAATTCAATACCTTAAAATTAATAAGTTAATTATAACATCAGTTACATCATTATATTTTATTAATTTATTTTAATTAATTTTTTTTTTAATTGAGACAGAAAATGTCTCGATCCACTACATATAATGTAGATGTCATTTTTTTTACATAAAGTTTAAAAATACTCATGTAATATATGAAGAAAAAAGAAACTATCAAACAATATAACTTTTTCGCCAATTTTTATTTTTCTTTTTTGACATTATCCTTGCACAATTTCTAGATCTACTCGTGTCCAGAATTCAAATTAACTACGAAAAATTATGGTTTGGCTAATTAACTCAAATTGAATCCACCACGCCAATGAAAACCTACTGAATTTGGTCCAACTCACAACAAACGCGAGATAAACTTTGTTTTCATCTTTTCATTCTCACGATGATGAATTTTCAACACGAGTCTTTTAATAATAATAAACCACTTGTGATAACAGTGCTCTGTATATTGAATGACATAAAATGCTATATAGGCCAAAAGGAGACATTTGATGCAATAAGTAACGAATTATTTCTCATAGAATTCTTATGTTCATATTGTTAATTCAATGTTAATTTTATTTACAATGTTGAGAGTTTAAATATTAATTTTGTGAGTTTTTATCTAATTACCACCTCGACATTACAGCCACGACAATCAAAATTTACTTAAAATGGTGCTACTAGGATTTCATTAAAATATAATAAAATAAAACTTACCACGCCATAGTACCAATAAAAATACGTGTTCGATTTACTATTTTTCAGTTGTGTAAGAAACAACGTAGGGTCACTAGGTTCTCAACCCTATAGTTCATTAGTTCTTACGGGTATTGAGTATTGACTATTGAGGCAGCCTATTGATTTTGCTATTTATTGCTTACCTATATCCTTTGGATAGGGTCCGAAACAATAATATTCGTAAATTCAAATTTTGCGACTCGAGTTCTCAAGTAGAAAAATAAATCCCTTATTCGTTACAACATTCTTAAAAACCAAAGGAAAAGTAAATGGAGATTCTATGTTTTAGTTATTGCCATTTTTCTTTTCCTGTTGTGTAGAGTAGAGTAGGAGCAACTCTAGTATATGGGTGCTTAAAAGATTTTCTTAACTTTAAAATATACAACTAATTCATAAAAAAAATCTTAATATACAACTTCAATATTTTTGACGAAAAGACACTAAAGAGTGAGATAGCTGGCCCCAAGATTTAACGCGGCTGCATATAGAACGCAAGATTTCTGGCCCCAAGATTTAACGCGACTGCATATAGAACGCAAAATTTGACTAACGTGTATATGTTTCAATATTTGGTGCGTATTCATAAAATTGTATAAAAACTGATATTCCTACTATCATTTGTAAAATATTGTACTTTTATCTATCTCACGTCGCGTTATTTATAATTTATTATATATTAAATTTCTCTCTTTCTCTCTTAATAAAACAAACTATATTATTGTACAAACGTCCGACCATTTATCATAAATATTGATTAGATTTTATAATTGAACTTTAAAATAGAATTTATTTAAAGATTATATATTTATAAATAACACATTCGCTACAATACTAAGTTGAATGATGAAATCATATTATTATTAATATTAGTATTTTAATTCAACAATGATAAAATCATTTTAATAAATCTAATTATTTTTAATATTTAGATTGAAAAATAAAAACTTAAGCCAAGTCATGAGAGTATTTTGAATTATTTTTTTACTTCTAATTATAAAATTATTATCTTGTTTTCACCTTACTTATTACTTTTAAAATTCATTTAATATTTATAGTATTTATATAAAAAAAATGAATTGGGAAAACATATTCCCGGTTAACGGTACAGCGCCCTAATAATAAGTTTGATTCCTATGTATATCCAATTAATTTGTTACATAGATCTGGGCAATATTTGAAGATAATATCAAGTTTGATTCCTATGTATATCCAATTAATTTGTTACATAGATCTTGGCAATATTTGAAGATAATACCAAGCAAATCATAGCCGCTTGAGTGATTCTAAACTTAACCTAATCATCATCTTTACCAATAAGGTCTGAAAAAATCATTGCAAGAACTTGAGCTCATCATTTGGTAACTCATCTAATAAAAATTTAAAACAATAAAAACATTATAATTAAAAATTATGTGCCAAAACGATTCCACACAAAAACAGAGAAAGTGTATGAGCATCTGAATGCATGAGCCTAAAGAGACCCACACTAATATCTCAGCTCAAATTTTTATCGGCAACGTACAGCGCTGAAATCGCTATTGAATAAGCAACACAGAGACTCTAATTTGTTGCCTTTTCATTAACAAAAGGCAATGACAGGAAAATTTTCGATAAAAACCAAATAACCTGAAGATCAATCTTAGATCAACGGTCCACAATACAATTATGCCATCGCTATAAAAAAAAATTAAAAAGAAAACATTTTTTTATTCCAAATTGATAAGAGAGCAACGCGGTAAGGGAAGCCTCAGATTCAATAATTTGAGCATTCGTC